TCGGCCTTCGGCTTTCGGTCTTCGGAGGTACCCGGACCATTTTTTGGTGGAAAATTGCAAAAACGGCTCTCGGTTTTCGGTTTTCGGTCTTCGCGAAGACCGAATAAAATTCTCCGGGATGTTCTCCGGATCGGGTCTCGTTTTCCCTTAGCGGGGGAAAATGATTTCAGACCCCTCCAGAATTCCCCAGTCTGAGGGTCTAGGACTTAAGCGCCTAGTGAATAAGATGTTAGACCCCACGTTTTGGGTCTACAATGCAACCACCGAGGGTCCACCAAGTAGTTGAGGCTATCTCAACACACTGAATACGTGAACAATGGATATCAATGGAGAATTCAAGGAGACAGGAACAACATGAAGATTTCAAGCTAAAAGCAAAACAAGAATACATGACGCTTACCCTATATGTGAATATCGGAGAGCTGACTTCGAACGCGTTGAAAAAATGCAGCAACACCACTCTAAAGGACGAGCTCCACAATTGAGAACATGCATTCGCATGATTTTCAGGTACGAGATGGTAAGAGGGTTAGCCTGGCATAAACTCAAAAGACAGTTGTTGGTCTCACTACGAGTTCGTTCGCCTCGACCATTCCGAATTTCGCACCTTCACGTCGCAGATTGAGAAGTGCAGCGCGTCCAAGCACGACTACCAGCTCAGTGGATGCGAAATGAACTTTTGCGTTGCACCAGCAATGCCAGGCAAGTGCCCCGTCAAATGTCTTGTGAAATGTTTACACTTTAAAGTGCTGACTTCGGTTTTCCTTAGCTGACAAGACAGCTGTGTCACAGCCGGGAGTTGTGCAGTTCAAAACAGTTTCCTTGTCGAGGCTACGCTGTGTCAGAGTTGGAGCTGCGCCAGCCCCACTTCAAGGTGAGAAACGCCAGACTGGAATGAAGTGCTCCAGCTAGACCAGGTCAGATTCTCCACTAAGAGGAGATGCCATCACAAGATGATTGGACAACTAGGGATTTGTTCTTTTGCCAGTGGATCGGGTTTAAAGCAGGTCACTGCGGCCTGTGCTACCGGCTACGAGGGCAATGCGATGGTTGAGCCCTGCGATAACCACTACGGCCACTGGTCCAGACAATTCACAAGATACAGTGGTTGTTTGTTGAATCCTGTGCTGTTATACAACTTTGTGTGGTTTTGAAATATCTACTCTCGCATGTTCCCCCAAAATACTCCGAATTCACACTTGGATCTTGATTCCCGTTCCCGGGAATTGTTTGCTTTTATACACGTTTTGGCTTGGCCGATGATAGTCCCCCCCCTGTCATTCCTGAAGGCGGTTCCCTCTTACTTTCATTCATTCATTGATTCGGGAAATCATGAGAAATCAAGCTGTTTGATAGTTCCTGAGAATGGTCGTGATTCAATCAAATGTATATTAATTATATATATATATATTCGCGATCAACTTTCCCATAGCTCCCCCGAAGATTCCTAAGATTTTAACCCCAATGGTTTATACATTTACAGTAGCGCTGCTGGAGTTTCCTCGGAGAGAAGCCCCAGCCATACAAACAATCAGGGCCACGTATATTCTCCCAGAAGCTTGGCTGATAACGCGATTAGATTATGATGTCCCCTGCCCCCTAGATTTCAAAATCCCCAATTCCCCCACAAGCGCTTGTAGACCCTCCACAATCTTCGTAAGTTTGTGCCGTGGTGTCATTGGAACATTGTGCCCCATGGTGTGCATACATTTGGCCCTCGAACGTTGCCTGGTGTCTCTCACCTGTGTTTCATACATTAAGCGACCCCCCTTTGTAGAGTTGGACCGGGCGATTTAGAACTGAAGGTCCTGAGAGGTTTTAATGCTTCAGAGGTTTCCAAGCAAAGGGTGGTTTGATGTCGTTCGAAAAAGATAGGTTGGAAATTCATATTGTCATGTCTTCTCGAGCCCCAGAGGTGTGCTACGTTGGTTTTGGACATCACTACCGGGTCACTACCCCTAACTATGTGGACATGGGTGGACCGGCATGCACGTCAAGAAAACTTAGACATTTAGCCAGACTTAGCCACCAATTTGACTGAAGGTGAGTACAAGCTCAGAGGCTGCACACGCGTTGAAGCCTTCTGTGTCGCCCCAAGTGTACCTTGGCAGCACAAGGCACACCAGGAAGCAGGGAACAAGAGAGAGGCAAGGGAGACTCCACTTTCTCATGATGGAAGTCTGCTGTGCTCAGGTCACAGATGGCTACATAGTGACTGAGACAGACCTGCGCATAGACGAATTTGAAGCATCGGCAGAGTGTGCACCAGGGTGGACAGGCCGGAATGCAATTGAACACAGATACTTTACCAGTCACTGAGATTGATTTAAGATGGATCGAGTGACTGTGCTGAGCAGCGTTCACAGGCACAGCGAAGGTGGCTGTTTGTACTGGAGCTACACCTCAGGCTCCTGTGCATGCGGGCAAGCGCTTGCTAGGCTCCGAAAAATAGCTTAGGATCTTGGAGGAGACAGCTGAGTAAAGATATCTTGGTCCTAGTTTTTGGTTGGTCCGGCAATGGCTTTGCGTGAACTTGAAGCGCACATACGCAAGGGCAGGTTTAATTGTTTGGCACACTTCCCCTCCTTGAACCATCTTAAGCCTTTTAACAGGCTTGCTTTAAAAGCAGCAGAAGGTTGCTGCTCCACTCTCAACCGCGAGGTTTCAAAGCAATATTCATTGAGTGGATGCACCAAGAGAACCGTTCGGACCTCAGATGATGATCTCGAAGAGGTTATAACTCCAACCTTATGAGAGCGCACGAGAGAGGGAGAGAGAGAGCGCAAAAAGAGGACAGGACTCAGGCTTTTGCCACATCTCTTAGGTTTCACTGCTCACCCAGCTGAGAAATGCATTCCGGTGAGGAAGAGGCTGAGCTAACGCTTTGCCAAACATCAAAAAAGAGAGCTCTGTGAGGCGTGTCAATTCGTACTCAAAAGCTTGGTGTTTGCTAAAGACTCTAAAGCTAGACTAACCCCTGGAGCAGTCTTGAAGAATGAACAAGCATGCTACTGAATTGAAGTCATGATGTCAGGATTTGCTAACATGGTTCTGAATCTTACACACGGTATGCAGCCAATTTGGGATGAAAGGGAGACGCGGGCCTGGTCGCAGATGGGATGTTGCGAGTGTCGGTGTTTTGCTTGTGAGCATCGACCCATGTAGCAGCAGAGCTTCCACCTGGCCTTTGAGCGCTGAAGATGCTTCCTCCCTCCGGCAAGTTGTTTTGGTGCACCGACATGGTGCCCGCTTTCCGACAAAGCCCACCGGAAAAGCCGACATTGCTTGGCCCATCCGAACGCAGTTTTGGGAAAGCTATAAAGGGCACCTCACTCCTGTGGGCTCTTCGCAACTGCAGGACAAATGTTTCTTCGCAAGTGCAGTGCTTGTTGGTTGGTCAGTTGGTTCCCCAAAGTGCACGGAGTTATGGCTGCAGGATGGAAACCGAAGCGGACAAGCACAACAAACAGGTACATTGCTGAAGTGACATGACAGATTCTGGCAGATGTAAAGCAAAAGCTTCACGACCACCAGCAACAACTCTTCAGTCATTTTGACGCAGCCGCATGACTGTTACACGCCAGCGAATGCAGCGATGGACGCAACATCAAAGACAGTGAATAGATACCAACAAGACCAAATCTATCCCAGACACGCCTCGCCGTTGATGATAAACTTCAATTATATATTTGAGTTTGTGCCAATCACACGTTATCCAGAAACACAACTGAATTCCATGATGAAAATATTCTGCAGCTACTGTCATGACTAGTGCGTGTTATTTGTGTTGACAGTACTTGCAGCTACCAGTCAGACTGGTGGCTGTAGCCAATGATGCCATTTGTCCTTTGGCAGATGTTGCAGTTGTGCTTGTGTACATAGACAGTGACATGTCCACTGAATTGCATGATTACCCGCTCTTCTCGACTGTTTATACGCTGGTCTATAGTATACTGTCAATCTTGTTCTGAGATAACTTTTCTTACACCATTTAGTTTGCCACTGCATTAGTCCCTGCAATCAATCACAGCCGCCGAACTCATGCTCGGAGATGGAAATCAAGCCATAGTATTATGATGTACATTAAAGCTAGTTCTGATGACACAACAAAAAGAATAAAAAGGCCAAACAAAATGCAAAACCAATGCTGAAAGAAATGCACAGAAAACGCAAAAACAAGTCACAAGGGAAGCGTTGGAATGCACAAAAAATGCAAATAAAAGGCGGAAAAAAACATTTGTCCACTAAACAAATGAAAAAAAAAACACAAACAATGCAACACACATGCACAAAGAAAAACAAAAAAGCAAACAAAAAGCAAACAAATGCGATCAAAGACGTTCTGGTCTTTGCCTTTGCATTTGTTTGCTTTTTTTTGCGATTGTTTTTCATTCTTTGTGCGTTTCCTTGAGAAAACGCAGCAACAATCACCACAAAATAAACAAACAAAACGCACAAATATCGCACATAAAATGCACAACCATGGAAAAAAAACACAAAAAACAAGGTTGTGTGTGAAATGTGGTTGTGCATGTGCATTTTTTGTGCGTTTTGTTCGCTTTTGTTTTGCGTGTGTTTAAACTGTTGTTTTGCGTTTTGTTTGCCTTTTTTGGGTTCCCTTTGCAAATTTTGTGCTTTTTTGTATGCACTATTTTTGACAAGCTGCTTTTTTCTCGCCTTCTTCATGCTTTTTTTTGCATTTCCTTGTTATCATTTCTGAGTGTGGTTTGCATTTATTTTGCCTTTTTATGAATCCTTGAGATTTCAGAGTTAGGCTGTAAGGCACATCATAACCATAGTAGATTTCAAGTGACAGTCACGATTCCCGTTGCCGCAACAGTAATTTAGTGAGGCCACATGTTTTTTGTTTATTTATTACTATTTCAACATATTTCAACTACATTCCCGTTACCGTTATGACTAGTAAGCAAGGCTTTGTAAAAAGAGCACCATAGACACGAAAATGCTTGTAGCGGTTGCTGTTGCTGTTTAGAGTCAATGACCTGTAGATTGATACATACATTCTCCAGTTCTTTAGTTTGCCGCTTCCAGACTGCTCGAGGACATTGGAAGTGTCCTTCGCAATCGTTATTTGGATGATAAGGCATACTTGTTTGGTGGCGTGCAGAAGATCGATGGCACTAGCCTAGCTGTTTACACCTCGAACATTCAGCGTACATTGCAAAGTGCTTGGGCCTTTTTGCTCGGCTTCGTGCCCTTTGCTGCCGTGTTCTTTGCCTTTCGATCGGAGAGAGTCTTTTCTGATTCAGCCCGACGCGCCGCGGGAGTCCCGATTTATATCGAAGACGCTGTGGGTTCAGATGACAGGCTTTTTCATGAGTGGCGCCTGGATGATAAATATGAAGAATGGAGGATGCAAAACCTGAGGCGCTCAAGATTTCTTCAAGACATGTCTTGCGACAGAGAGTATCATAAACTCCTTGACAAGCTCTTCAAGTGTAGCAAAGATGAACGGCTTTGTCCATCACAAAGTATGATGGATAGACTCATTGCGGCAAAGGATCTGGACACACAGGTGGCCATTGAAGAAGCTCACAATCGCCCAGTGCTCGTCAATGAAGAGGGGATTTCCTTGAACACTCATGAACGCCAGTTGCTTCAGGAGATAGGCAATGAAGTCAAAAGGCGATGGTATGGTGCAGCAGCTCGTCGAAAGGAAGAACGTGTAATGCTGTGGTGTTCATCATGCAGTAGCTAAAGCATGCTAAAGCCTGCTGTAGCCCTGTTAGATGTGAGCTATACCCAGTGCTTCTGACTTGGGGTCTCTTTGAAGTTTTTGTGCCAAGGCATCAGGCCTCAGATGCGACTCCTATGGAAAGAAAGGAGCTGGATATTTGGCGCACAAAATCTGGCGACACATGCAGCAACGAGCAGAAGGAAAATCACACCTGAGATTTGTCCAAATGTCATGTCACGAAGCTCGGCTGCGACCGGCTGCACAAGCGTACTATTGCCAAGTACTTGCCATAGTATTTGAGGTCATCTGACTGCCTGATACAACGAAGAACAGGCAAGCATAAATTGTGGTTGAACCAGTCAAGAAGGATGAAAAGGTCCACCCATGTGTTTTGCTTCTCTGTGAAATGGGGTTGCACTTCAAGAGGTCAATCTAGCTTTGAAACTGGAGTAGGCCAGTCATTGCATGGTTGTACAATATAGTTGCTCTCCCTGGAATTAACATGGAAGTGGAAAACCACCTGTTTGTAGAGGAAATTGGTCTTCTAAAGGTGTCTTTTGCACTTGCATATTAGTTCCAGGGAGTGTATACCATGTTATAATATGTTATATATACTGTATATTTTTTGTTTTTGTTGATACACTACACACCTTGCACAATGTGTCCAATGTGCTTTGCAGCGCTCCTTATCAAGGACACCACTTTGGCTGCATTAGCAACCCACCTTGGTCTTGAGCTGCCAATGATAGGCTTTGGAGCCTTCTTGGTCTTTGAGTTGCATAGCGACGGAGACACCCATTGGATAAAGACCTACTACAACGCGACACCAACAGAGGAAACATCCTATTCACGACTGAAGTCCTTGGCCTTGCCTTTGGGTGAAGAGCGGCTTGTAAAGGTGAGAAATTGTGCGACTGGGAGCGTCACCTTGGGGGACTTCGCCTCACATTGTGAAATACCAGGTGTGGAAGAGGCATTTCAATCCTTTCTGTCCTTGTGCTGCGATTCTGGCAAAAGGCCAACGCGCAAGGCATTGACCAACCTTTTGCAAAATGGAGCTGGTAGTCTCAAGTGGATGAGTTTTGGCACATGGCAGGAGAGATACGGCGAAGCCTTCCGCTGCATTGACAAAAACAATGATGGAAAGCTGAGCTGCAGCGAAGTCCAAAGTGCTTTGTCTGAGTGGGGCTACAGCGTTTCGAGAGAAACCTTGGAGAGACTATTTCGTTTGGTTGATTCAGATCCTGAACACGACGGGTTTGATGAAGAAGACCTTCATCTTACCATGTCTGCATTGGTTGGAATTCGAGGGGGGTTGCATGGCCAGAGCATCAAAGTTGAGGCTTAGAGCTGGCCAGGTTGGAGGCCATCGCTAGAGTAGGTTCCTTTTGCTATTAGGGTGGAGGTCATCGCTATTATATAGGTTGGAGGATCAAGTGTGTATTCTTTTGTTTCATAGACAGCGAGAACCTTGGCGGTCACTGCTCTTGTGCACAGAACCGTGTTGCGAGTCTCGTTGCAGCCTGATCCAGCTACGCCATCCTGCATTTTTGCAGGACGTTGCAGCCAATGAGCGCCTGTACTTTGGTATTGGCTGAGAAAAGGTCCTGGGCGGCTTCACAGTTGAAGTGGGGTGTGAGGGGTTGCTGAAAGAGTGACGACTGAAACGGCTTGCATATGTAGCATGCTATTAGGCTATTAGGGGAAGTGGGACTTTGATGTGGTGTGTTGGCTTGCAGCGGGCTGCCTGCCGCTAGGGGCACGGCCCGGAGGCACGAACTGTTTGAATCTGGCGCACGGTCACGGGAAGGTGAACAGACGTTCCTTTGTGGGACATAGAACATCGTAGCACCTTAGAAGATCTTAGAAGCGTCGGACCTGCTCTCCCTGATTCCATTTGAGGCATTTTGAGCCTGTGTTTGATCAACATTGTTTCACACAGATGCAGATACCGTTTTAGGATTGTGTGATGTTTCTCTCGGGCAGAGCTCTTAAGGCAATCACTTGCTTGACGTCCCTTTTTGTCGTACCAACTTGGCGCATTCAACTGTTCTAAACATTTGTTATCAAATCAACCATAGCATACTATAGCAAGATTAGTCAGAGCATGTTTGGTGCAACACACCGGTTACTGCCACAACTTTGTGGTTTTGAGAGGTTCTTCTTTTCTCGTTGCTTCCCACCGAGCTGTGCCTGTCCATCTCTCGGAGTGTCACAGGTATGCGATGTTGCAATGTAGTTCTGCTGCTGCTGCTGCCCACGCTACTTTATGGGCGCAAGCTCACGCGGAGTCGCAGCGATCTTGAGGCACAGGCAGACGCTTCCTTTAAGTAGAAGCTCCCTTGTTGATGTGTGCAGGGCTAAAGCTCCCTTGATCTCCAATTGTCATCAACAGCCATGCGACCAGACGACAAAAACACAATGCGGCTTTTGGCGCACAGGAGAATGCATCGCCAGCTGAGTTTCGTTTGAAGCTCAAGGCGTAGCGACCCTGAAGTGCTAAGAACCGACGTGCTTCAAAGAAAAATGCAAAAGGACTCAAAAGGGAAAAACAATATGTGTATATACACAAGTGTTGAAGACAAGAAGGTAAGCCCTCCTTTATAGGGGCTTTGCCTTCCTTTTTGCTGCTTGGTTTTTCTTTCAATTGATTTCAATATATTTCAATCGTAATCACATGCTTTGTCACTTGCTTTGTGTCAGATTTTAAGCTGCGGAGGCCAAAGGTTTTGTGAATCCTTCCACAACCATAGCAGAAGTTGGCACCATTCGTGTCCTTGATCCAGCTGGCCACTGTGTAAACTGTATCTTGGCCTTCAATCCGAGGTCAATTCGTGGAGTTTTGTAAGATCTTGGAAAGTACCAATGGACCAATGGCTTCAAAGCACAAGCGACATGAAGAGTCTTCTGGAAGCCATTCTGAATGGAACGTGGAGAATAGAGTGAGTCGATTTCAGTAGATTCTGTTCAATTCAGGTGCAAGTTCCAACAACTGCACAACAGAGGAGGAGGTCTTAAGCAAGGACATGGCATAGGGCATGGTTGGATCCATCCAGCAGGGCAGAGACGGTTTTGTCGCAGCTTTGTCGCAAACACAGGAGACCGGACCCGAACGAGCATGCAGTGGCAACATGAAGTTGGGCCAGAAATTCAGTCCAGACCTCACAACCATTAGCAACTATTCAATATGCAAGAGTTGGAACCAGTAGGTTTGATTCTGCAGCCTCCCTTCAACACTGGATGGAGTCCTGGCACGAAGGCTGGAAAGTTTCTGACAAGGAATACGATCTGCTGATGATTATGCCCGCTCGTGATTTAGGCAAGGTGCTTTTTGACTGTTCCTTCTTCGGACCTCAGATTCTGTATGTAGCACGACGTAGCCAATAATGATAATGTAGTTCAATATCAAGATGGCTTCAATTGCTTGCCCTGGATGTGTCGTGTGGGGAAGAAGCACCAATCGAAAGGCTTAGGGAGTCTGTGGGTGCAATGATTGAGCCTTTCAGACTGAAGGTTGTATTTCCCCTTATGACTTCAGGTTCGGCATTGAACTTCCAGATCCAGATTTCCTCAGCAGTGGATATTTCAGGCCTCCGAGTTGGTTGGGGGCGGTATTTAAAAAGGCCACTTGCTGACAATATTGCCATTTTTGGGTCTAACTCCCAATCACATTTGCAACTTCAAGCATTGCCAGGACACAATAGCCCAGAACTGGCTGGCAGGCGGGGCACATGCCTTGAGCCCAAATATATTTTGACAGGATAATTTCAACATACTTCAACCAAATCAATTCAATTGCCTGCAAGCCCGGGTGGCGGAATGAAAGGTGCAAGCACTTCCATAGAAACGACAGATTGTCAGCAATGAATCAATAAAGTGGTCAAGTATGACATGGTATTTCAATCACACAGTCAAGTTTAGGGCCAACGGCCACCAAAGGCATCGCCAGAAGTGGCGTAGGCGTTGAACAAAATAGTACGACATCAATTAATTAATGGAAAGCATTGACTGCAGCCTAGAGGATCTAGAGGCTAGTGAACTCTCCAGGCAAGTGACACAGTGGCTGGCACTGGCCTTCCTTGGCAACTCAAAGCACAATTTTTGGTACAAGATTGCTGGGAACTCGAACACGTGCGCGCACATACGCCTCGCTTTTTTGGCTACATTTTTTACATTGCCCTGAGGGAGTGTCCCTCAACGGAGACTTCTCGAACGGCGTGCAAAGCATCCCTGCAAAAGTCACGCTGCCTGAGGGGGCAGAGGATTGCGTTATAGTTATGCCTTTGTCAATGGAGTATCTACAGGAAATGAGTTCGAGCGTCACCCATCTCCCCCTTTCTCACTCTTTCTTTCTGTAGGAGATCTTTGAGGGTGTCCGCCTCTTAGATTTTGAGAGCCTCCAACCTTTGCAGGTGTCCGAACAGAAAAACATAATCATTTGTGCTCAATATTATCTGAGAATGCATTCTTTCATTACCGACCACATGGTCTTCCTTCGCCTGTGAGGTGTGCACGAGTCCAAGAGACAAGTCCGAGTACATTGTGATGGAAAGAGATTTGTCGAAAGACAAGTTTGCCGTCTCTGCAATTTGTGCACCAGATTGTGCAGGAACGGCAGTTGTCGAAAAATGTCGAACAGACACCGATCCATATATTTTGAAGGGATGCCATGCAGAGGTTTGCACCAGCCCAGATGATTCGCTTTTGGAAGCTTTCGATCTCACTGTGGTCAGCTTGGAGCGCAGATCCTTTGAAGTCTTGGTTCGGTGCAATCCAACAAAGGCTTCTGGCACAGCCACGGTGAAGAAGTGCAGCATGCCAAATCAACCCTATGTGATTGAAGGCTGTGGCGTGACCACCACCACGTCAACGAGCAGCACAACAACAACCACAACGACCACAACCAGCACCATAACATTCACTACGACAACGACAGTGACAACAACGAGCACGACAACAGCCACGTCTACCACTACCTCAACCTCCACCACCACAGATACAACTACCACTACGAGCACCACCACCACCACGTCGACAACGACCACAACCGTGACAAGCACCACCACCACAACCACTACCAGTACAATTACATCCACCATAACCAGCACTAGTACTGTTACTACTACAACAACAGAAACTGTCACAACCACAACTACTAGCACAACAACCACGACTTCTACAACCACAAGCACATCCACGTCAACATCGACAACTACAACAACGTCCACAAGCACATCCACGAGCACTGTCACCACGACGTCCACCCAGACGACAACATCGACCACCACCATTACCACAACGTCAACCATCACTAGCACAAGCACTTCCACCAGCACCAGCACGACTACCACAACAACCACAACAACCGTGACAAGCACAACCACCACCACTACCACTTTCACAACCACTACCACTACCACCACTACCGTCACAACCACAACTACAACGACGACAACGACCACCACCACAACCACAACTTCCACAAGCACCACAAGTACATCCACAGTCACCTCGACCACAACTGTGACAACAACCACCACGAGCACAGAGACAACCACAACAACGACTACAAGTACAATTACTTCGACCACCACAACAAGCACTACAACTTCCACAACGACATCAACGACCACCACCACGACTACAATGACCACCACAACAACAACCACTTCAACGACGACGACAACTACCACTTCAACAACCACCACAAGCACAACAACTAGCACGACTACAAGTACCTCAACTACTACCACGACTTCAACAACCACTACCACATCCACTACCACAACAACTACAAGCACAACAACAACTACGACTACAACTACCAGCACTATCACGACGACAACAACTACCACAACTACCACATCAACCACTACTACAAGCACCACAACCAGTACGACCACCACCAGCACCACAACTACAACCACAACCACAACTACCACTACCAGCACAAGCACAACAACGCTTACGACCACAACAACTACCACGTCTACGTCAACTTCAACATCGACAACCACGAGCACCACCACAACGACCACATCAACAACAACGACTACAACCACCAGCACATTTACCACTACAACAACCACCAGTACAACAACTACCACAAGTACAACTACAACCACGACGAGCACTTCCACAACAACTACTACCACTACATCTACATCTACTAGCACAACTACGACCACTTCAACGTTTACAAGTACTACCACAACTACTTCCACATCCACAAGCACGACAACCACTACCACGACTTCGACTTTTACCACAACACCTACAACCACTTCAACATCTACTACGTCCACAAGTACAAGCACAACTACCGCAACATCTACCACAACCACCTCAACGACGACGTCAACAAGTACCACCAGCACCTCAACCACCAGTACCACGACAACAAGCACAAGTACAATCACATCAACCACAACTACAACGACCACTACAACATCAACCACAACGACTCGACCAGGGCATCAATGTTTATCCATCAAGAATACCGAAGGTACTTTGGCAGCGTTATGACTTTCATCTTGGAAGAGTATTGCCTGTTAACAAAGTGGACTCAGAAGGAGGTCGGCCGAAGTTGTTGCTATCACTTGCAATGTA